GCTGCTGCTGTCAATGCCTGCAGTCTGTAGTGCCCATGCGTGCAGCTGCTGCTGCTGCTGCTGGTGCTGGTGCTGCTGCTGCAGTCGCCGCTGCAGCAGACACAGAGCAGCATACCTGTCGAGACAGTCTGTCTCCACCAGCAGCAAGCCCCAGGCCCGCTGCATCACCGGCAGCAGCAGAGACAGCAGAGGAGACACATCATCTTTGTGTACTTCCAGCAGCAACTCGTCGTGTATCTGCAGCACCACCTGAGCCCGCAGCGGCCTCTCCAGCAGTCTCCGCTGCTGCTGCTGCTGCTGCTGCTGCTGCTGCTGTTGCTGCTGCTTAGTTGTTGCTGCTGTGAAAGGAGATGCATAAAGAGAAGGAGACAAAATACACGCTTGCTGCTGCTGCTGCTGCAGCAGCTGCTCCACTCTCCCCGTTACATATTTCATTATGTCAGCAGCAAGACCTTGTATCGGTGTATTCATAGCCTGTCTCCTACACCGTCCCCTCCCGCTGCTGCTGCTGCTGCTGCTGCTGCTGCTGCTGCTGCTGGTGCTGGTGCTGCTGGTGGTCAAATACCCCCCCTGCAGCAGCAGCACCTGCTGCTGCTGCTGCTGCTGCTGCTGCTGCTGCTGCAGCGGGGCTCCCTTTGCAGCACCAATGCGCTGCAGCAGCGCAGCTAGGTGCGGGTGTATGCGGAGACAGTGGGGTGTGGGGACTGTCTCCTTGAGGCGTCTGTTGCGGCCTACAAGTGTCTCTATATTTCCTGTATTTTCTGCGTATTGTGTATTTGTCTCCATTAGGGTTTTTACTCCTTTATACTCCATAAAAAAACATTTTATTAAACCCCGAGCCTCACGAACGGAGACACCNGGGTTTTTACTCCTTTATACTCCATAAAAAAACATTTTATTAAACCCCGAGCCTCACGAACGGAGACACCCAGCTGACGAGATAAACCACCCTCCGTCTGCCCGTATAAAATACCTATCATACACCACACACTACAAACCCTAAAGGAGACACTAAGAAAACAAGCTACAACAAGAAGAAGAGACAGAAAAAGAGACAGAAAAAGAGACAGAAAAAGAGACAGAAAAAAAGACAGAAGAAAAGGAGACACTAACCAAACAAACTACAAGAGGAGACAGAAGGAGAGATAGAAAAGAGAAAAAAAGAGACACTAGATAGACAAACTACGAGAAGAAGAGACAGAAGAAGAGAC